GCACATTTCCCATGTTTCATGCACATGTTTCATATAGTTGATTTTCTTTTATATATGTCCAACTGGGTTGGCACAGGGCGGTTGGGCCTGCTGCTGTTACTGCCACAACCTGTTGGCCTTCTTCCATGAGGTGGAATGGCTGATCAGGGTGGGCGGAAAGATGGTACACTGACCCCAGTGATGAGGAAACTACTGGAGCATCTTTGACGCTCATGTCACCACACTTCATGACTCAAATGAGGGAGTCCATGGTAGGGTTGGTCCCATGGATGAGAAAATAAAGGTACACAGCTGGGGGCAACAGGTAAGCCCCTTCTGGGACCTCCTGTGGATGTGGGCATTGTTTTACAATTGCTTCAGCATCTGTATGCTCCATATTGAGCACCTGGGCCTCCTAAAGGTACATTTCCTTCTTTTTCTGTGCTTATTTGTTTTTTATTGCTAACAAGCTGTACAGAGACATCTGCAATACACCTGTATTGCCAACAGGATTGAGGAGGACATCAACAACGTGTTCAAGGCTTTCCCCCTGTTCCCTGGCAAGCAGACCTTCACCAATCAAACACAGATTGTTTGTTGTAATGCCAATGTAAGTATTTCTTCTTTGCTCTCTCTCTTTGTTGTCTTTACTCTATGGCTAACCTGCACGTAGGGCAAGTTGGTGGTGGCGGGGCTGACAGGAGGTGAGATGGACAGCTTCTTGCAGGTCACTGAGCTCCTCTTCAGGGAGTGGGTGAGTGATCTGCAGGAGCATGAGTGTTGGCATGTCCATGTTGATATTGTCCACCTCCTGCAGCAGGACAGCTTCAGCGCCAATGACCTAGACAAGCTTGAGAAGCTGACCAAGAGATGGAAACATCTCATGGTCAAGCTCTATGGCAGTGTTGCTGAGTGGCAGTGTGTGATGAGCTTGAAGAAGAAGTGGTTGAAGAAGTGTTTGTGGACGGCTGAGATGGTGGCCAGCGACATGACAATGAGTGGAGAGAAGCCACTGAGCTTCTCCTTTCTGAACTTTGAGGTCATGCAACACTGGCCAGAACTGATCTGCTTCCTTGGCCCCCCTTGGGTCCAGGACACATGCCTGTGGGAGCAGTGGCACCTTGTGGCCAAGATGACTGTGTGCTGCACAAACCAGATCAATACTGAATGGGTGATCCTCATTAAGGTGTGTGTTCCCTTTCTGTTTTCATTGTAGTTCCAGAGTTAACTCATCCTTTCCAGACTCATCAAAAAGACGCCATGGTTCGCCACAGTGTGTACGCTGGGCTGCCATCAATGAGCCCCAGTGAAGGCCCCTGCCAGGAGCCCTACACGCTCACCGTGAGTGTCACTGCTGTGGCTGACATCACAAGCAATTGCAAGTGCAACCTCAACGACGCTGTTGAACAAGAGGTGGGTGAGGGCTCCGAGATCGCCTACAACCACATCACCTCACACAACTCGGCCTATTACTATGGCCATTTCCTTTGATTGGGCGACAGCATTGCCTTACATGTTCCTGACGAGACCCCCAACGTACATGCTCATCGCCAATTTTTGCTGTGTCCAAGTCTGCCTCACTTTTTCTTTCTTCACAGATACGTTTCATTTTCGAAGACACCAGACGTCTCATCCTCAAAGACTCAGAGACGCAGAGGGTCATGATTGGAAAGATCACTCGCCTACTCACCATTGAATGTGATGGTAGGGCGCGGCCCTGGCTCGAGCTTGAGCTTGGTGAGCTGGCCGGCTTCAGGGACGGCTTTCTGGAGTTCAGGTTCGGTGTGCGACGATTCTACCTTCCGTTTGGATGGAACGGGTGGACCGTTGCCAAGCGCGTCCACCTCGTGCGGCAACGAAACGGCGTGGTTTACAACCACCGAGTGAGGTGGCACATCGGCGATAGGTGGGCCACGCCTCGCCAACCCTACGTGACGGCCAGCGAGAGCGGACTTCTAGGAAGAACGGACGACCACGACTACTAGTGGACCACGAGCGGGAGACTTCGGCGGACGACCACGAGCGGCGGACGACCACGAGCGGCACGAGCGGCGGACGACCACGAGCGGCGGACGACCACGAGCGGCGGACGACCACGAGCGGCAGACTTCGGCGACCATGAGCGGCGGACGACCACGAGCGGCACGAACTGGTAGGCAACGACCTGAACGACAACAGTGGTGGCGGGCAGGCGGGAGGGTGGTGGGCG